GCCATTGACATTGCATCAGAGGCATTGTTATTGCCAAAGAGTACGAACTGGGCCTTGTAATATGGCTCTCTAAAGTCTAATTACAAGAAATGTTCTGCCAAATTTACTTTTCTTTTTCCTATATTCCAGCACTGACCACAGCGGCTATTGTTGGGATTGCAGTGGGATCGTTTGTAGCTTTGATTCTTTGCATCTTCTGCAGTTATTGGTTTTGCCGTTCGTCAAAAAACACCACTACTGCAAGTCCAGCGGTAAATGTTATCTATAGACTTTACGTGTAATATGCTAGAAAATGGATCCATTAAACATTTGATATCACTGTATTCAATCTTACAGAATTTTATCCTGCTTTGTGGTGTTTTGGTTTCAGGATCAAAATGAAACTCTCAGGTTTTTTTTCATTATCTCAAAGTCTTCAAGTGTTACCTTTAAAAAGTAGGATTTGGCCAGTGATTTCAGTAATCGTGACTAGGGAATTCTCTGTTATTAATTCTCTTTGGATTTAAATACATGGCTTCACTAATCGTTTTACTGAAGAGAAGTCAATTTTTCATCCAACTGTTTGTGGCAGGCCTCCAGGACTACCTATTCTCAAGTCCCAGCCAATGAAGCCAACACAGCCACTCCAGTCATCCACTATCATACTGCTCAACAGTCTGTCAGTGTAGCGCCCTCTATAGGAACACAACCGTCAGCCACCAGGTATCCAGCTAATGAGACTCCACCGCCATCTTATGAGACCACTGTAGCTCAGCCCACAGTGTCCCCATAAGTACTCAGCAAAGGGGCTGAAGCTGAGACAACACAGCAAACAGGTTCTTACAACCCCGCCTACTCACTTGCACAGTCCCCGCCCTGATGAACTCAGGGCTGCACCTCAGACCCAAGTAATGTCTAATTCCAACATACAAATTACTCTCTGACTAATAACCTTTGGCCTTAGCACCTCGTTAAGTCACATATTGAGCCCACTTGGTCCTGTGAATGAAAAGCTGAAAAGGATGCAACATCAACTCAAGGAGATACTGGATTGTGTAACAGTGAAAATGCTCTATAAGATGGTGAAAAATGCCCAAAACAAATACAGAAGTGGTTACTAGTGATTAGATTCAACTTGGGCCTCTTGTTAATGAAGAACATAAGAAATGTTGGAATTCTAAATTTCCTTACTCAGCTATTTCATGTGGAATGACATGTCAGCATGGAATGTTCTGTGATATAACATGGAAATCACTGTTGCTCGTGAGTACCAAAATTAACATATGCTTATAACACAAAAGACACTAAACTCCTTTTAAAGTAGCAAAAAGAAAGAAATGAAACGAGAGAACTGAAATAGAATGATACATTTTTAAGGGTTGTAGCAAAAATTGATCCCAAATGTTACAAGTAAAAGGAGATGATTGTTGTCTGCGTAATGCAAACATCGGTCATAAATGCCTGAGGCAGGTGGATCACTCTGATTGGTTCTACACTACTGTGGCTAGTACGAAGTGTACTATATGTGAGCTGGTCTCTGTACAAGGAGATTGTTTAGAACTATATATGGAAGGCATTCACTGTTAGACGTGAGGTAGAGGGGTGACTCACAAAAACATGAAGAAAATTTGAATTGTAGAATAGTTGGATTGGAATTCAAATAGTGTGCTTGAAAGGTTTGAAGAGTAAGGAAAACACTGCGTAATTGATACTTGATCACTTCCAAACCTGTAAGGTCTTTATTTAGGTATGAGGCTCATGATAACAGGAAGTGTTGAGTCAGTGCTAGTGTATTCATTACAGTGTAGAGGAAACTTGTTCTCCAAGTCCTCTCATCGGGAGTCAGTTTCTCGTAAGTTTTAAAGTGCTGCAGCATTTTAGCCATTGTAACATTTTAACAGGGCTGAGAAGTTTTTGAAATGGTACACGTGAAAGTGTTGATTGTAAAATATTGAATATTCATAAAGCACTTGATTGGCAAGTGTGAAAAGATGTATCTGGTTCGTAAGTGTGACATCACCACGCCCACTGCACATGGACAGCACATAGTTACATGCTTTGACCATGGAACCGGAAGTGAAGGCGAAACTTCAGCGATAGTCCAATGGTAGCATGCAAATCGTGGCACGTCCGCCTTTGTGACGAAGTCACTTACGAATCGGATAAGTTGTATATGCATACACATTTACATATACACACTTAGATAATGCTAGAAGATATTACATTCGTGTAAACAGACTTTTCTGAGATTTTATGGAGTGATATTTATTGTATCCTTAGCATCAGAAACTGTAGGGAAATTTCTATATTACAATCTTTTCTGCATGAATAGTACTATGTTTTGCAGCTGTCATTAAGTGTACATGTATTAAATCAGATTAATTGCCAATTATTCATGTCATATGAGTCACTTATAACCATTTGAGCAGCTGGTATAATTTTATGCTACAGAAATTGAATTATTATTAATACTTTCACATTTAAAAAGATCCAAAATTGCTACTTTGTAGACATGTTATATTTTTGTCCGAAATCAGGGCCACAGTGCTTACATTCTGAAACAAAGGTCTATGAAAATGCCAGTAGTTTGCCATAAAAGACGTGTATTCATTCCTTTAGGCCTGTTAATGAAGCTTTTTAAAGTTTTAACTTCCTCCTTTTGGGGGGGAAGTAGAGGAATACCAACTTTATGAAATTGATGAGACTTGAGAGTTGGACAAGAGAAGGTCCTGCAGAACACTTGTCAAGCTTTGTCTGTAATGTCTACATTTTTATCTCTTTTCCAAACTTTTTATTCCTTGTGATGTATTGGGGCAGATAGAACCAGATAGTGTAAGTCAAACTTTTTCAAAAAATTTCAACATTTTTGTCAAACTGTTAGTTTGACAAAAATGTTGAAATATTTCAATACCTGCAAGGTGGGTATCATCTTAGACGGATTTCATTTCCAATAGTTGTACATTGTAGAATAGGATTTGTATCCATTTTTGATGACAAGTACAAAGTGTCTGTAATCGTTAATGTGATTGTAGTAATACATTACAGTTTACACAGTGACACAACACTAGAAGCAAATATAAGCCTCGTCTGAATTATTTGATCGACTGAGGCTTGAAATTACATCCATCGCCTTGTGAGCCAGATACAAGTAATTGGGACATAGTTTTACATCACTAGAAGGCTGGCACTGCATACCTGTTTAGTGAAAGGTGTATTTTTCAACAATCAGAACACTTGAACTGAGGTTGGAATCCAGACCATATGGAAATCTGTACTAATTCAATCATGGATGCAGTATGACAAAACAGAAAATGTTTTCATTTGAAACGATTTTTTTGAATAAATACATGTATTGAGATAAAATAAATACGATTTCAATCTACGGCGAACTTACAGTCAGTATCTTGAGAGACGTCAACTTTTCACAACAGCGGCTGGTTCTGAGACTATCACAACAGTCTGCGCCACATCTGAAACCCAGTCTCCTGTGCATATGCTTGACATTTTCAAGAAAAAGCCCAAGTGTATGGATTATTGAAGAATCGCCGTCAGGACAGGACAGTGGAAAACATTTTCCGGGAAAAGGCAGAGGCGTCATATTGTTTGTCGTCTGCGCCAGTGCCCCCCCCCCGTGATCGTTGGAACATATTGGAGTTGGCGGCACGGTTGCAAGAATGGCGGCGTTAACTTTGGTTGCTGTCGTTTTTGTACTTGTAATAGGTCTAACATATCTGACAAGTTTCGCCTTAAGACGATGTAAGTAAAAATTGGGCGTGGAAAGAGTTCCATACACGGGCGCCACTTGACAGACTCTGCACAAATCCTATGTCATGGGACTGCTCTGAAAAATAAGTGTTTTCTAAGTGAAGTCTAGACAGCCAAACTACTTCTATACAGGCTGCCATCATCCCGAGAAGTCGTAGAAACTCCTCTGCTGTAGCCTGATGCTGAGTCATGAACTTTTGTACAAACTGTAACAGTTCTATCTTCCTCCCGGAGGAAGACAAACTACATTGAGGTTGGTCTTGAAGTGACCACCTATGTAAACAAGGTTCTGACTGAGAGTCAAACTGGACTTCCCCCTGTTGATTAGGAAACCGCAACTTTCTAACAGAACAAGCAACGAGTTCACTCCTTGAGGTAAAACTTTGCTCGGAGCATGTATTAACAAATCATCTAAATAAGGGAACACATGGGCCCCTTCCATTCGTGCTTTGGCTACAACCGGAGCCAGAACTTTGGTGAAAACCCTCGGAGCTGACTTCAGGCCGAAGGGAAGAATCCGAAATTAGAATACACTTCCTCTGACCTTGAACCGCAAAAACTTTCTGTGGCATTCCCTGACTGGGATGTGCATATAAGCATCTTGTAAGTCTATTGAACAAAGCCAATCCTCTGGTTTTACTGCCTTCTTTATCAAACGGAGGGACTCCATTTTAAACTTCTCCTTTTAATGCAACGGTTCAACGGCTTTAGGTTTAGAATCAAACGCAAATTTGAAGGTTTCTTTGCCACTAGAAAGAACGTTGAGTAAAGCCCTTCATTTTGACTGGTCCAAGGAACAAGCTTGATGGCATTCTCGTTAAACAAGGCGTTGACCTCGTCATACAAAACAGAGGATCTTACTGAAAACTTTGGGCCTACTGGTGTGCTCCTGATGCCATTGAAATGAGGCTTATCTTGGAACTCCAAAAGGTGACCAAATTCTACAATGTCGAGAACCCATTGGTCGTTTGTCAAGAGGTGCCACATATCCACCTGTGATGAGATTTGACCCCCACAGGATTGACTGAAAGAACTGGAAGGGCCCGCCTCATCCTATTGTGATTTGGAGGACGAGAAACCTTTGTCATTGGTATGTATGAGCTGGCTCTCCACCAGTTTGAACTCTTCTAAAACCTCCTTCAAGTTGCCCCCACACAGGTTGCCATCCCCAGTCTTTTGGAGCTTTCCTGAGCTTTGACTTAGTATTGTCATCTCAGCAGGTTTGCTGCAGCCACATGTACAGGTAGTTCCTGGCTAATTTAGCGTTAGTAGCTTCCCTCACTTGAAGGTCCAGCATGTCAAGAGTGGTTTCCTGTGCTGCACTCAAAGACCGAGATGCAGACCCAATATCGACCAGGCCCTTCAAAACATTCAAACTCTGATGATCAAGAGTGTTCTGAAGGAGTTCCTCCAACTGTGACACCGCACAAGCCATACCATCATGGGCCTCCTCAATGCTCATAAAGCGGCGATCTGCCATATTCAACGACTTATCAGGGAGTTTGGGAGCGTGGATGTCGAAACCAGGAACCACTCGTCCGAGCTCATGAGCCAACAAGGGGTCGAGCTGGGAAGGCATCATGTACTTTCTATAATGTTCCTCCGTGATTTTGTAATGAGCCAAAGTGGATGCATGGTATAAGGAGAAACGTTCAGGATTCCGCGACCACAGCTTGTCAACCAGTTTCTTTTGCCCGGCTGCTAAGGACAGGAACACTTTGCTCTGCCTAGTGTCGAATCGAGCTGAAGTGATCTTGGGGTCTTCCCGTGGTCCAAAGTGAGCATTCCTAATGGGAAGGGAGCACGCTGCGTCCTTGACCACTTCAAAGAATGTATCAGGGTTGATTTCCAGATCCGCAAACTCCAACACAGAACCCACATAATCATGATCAGAACCATGTGGGCCCACTCCCGCTTGACTAACTGATTCCTGGGAGGAGATGTTTTCTTGCCTTGACCTACGACCACGCTTGAAGTTACCGGTGGAAACCTAGCTGAAACACAGGATCGTCAAAAAGCTCCTCCGGCTGAGGATATAACCAAAGTGAGTCAGCCCTCTTGAAATCTTGATGGTTACATGTGCTGTCATGATTGCCCCCACGTGGCAAACCAGTTACATGGGATGTATTAGAATCAATGGAGCCCCCCACAGGGGCCTTTCGCTGATTGCAGACAGCACCATGAACCCCCCAAAAGGCAGCCTATTTGACCAAAGGGGCCTCTTCTCCCAAGCGAGACACTGTACGAGGAGCAGAACCTCGGAAAGGGGTCGGTTGCGGAGCCAAACTTTTCACCATACTCTGCATCATCTGCTGCATACATTTGGCAAGGTCAGAGAAACTTTGCTGGAATTCAGCCCTGTCAACATATAACAGGAGCACATGCCTAGCTATGCTGAGACTTGTGTACAGAGTGAGATGCAGCTTCATCCTCCAACCTTTTAGGAGCCTTTTCCTCGGCCTCACGGGAAAACGAGGCCCACAAGTCCAAAGACATACTACCCATTTTCTGACATTAATCGCAGCTATGTCCGCTAGATCCGTAACAACACTTACAGCACAATGCATGGGGGTCATGACCCCCAGAACTCTGTGACAAGACCTGCTAGAACATGCAGCGGTGTCGGCCACACATGCCACATTAGCACGCTTGCCAGACTCGGCCGCCGCCACGATAACTCTAAATGAGAGATCGATAGGCAGAATGACTCACCAAATTATTGCTATTATACTGTCGCCTACAGCGGCAGAGCAACTCGTAGATGAGTACAAGACAACTAAGATATATAAGGTGTACTTACACCAAACTGACGGACGCCTTTATCAGCAAAATCTATCGTAGTTTTTTATGAGGACACAATAAAAAACATGACTAAGTGGGAAGATGCTTAAAGAAGCACTGGTGCGCATGCGTACGTGGAATGAGTGCTCAGGGGGGAGCGGAGGTGACAAGGCTGTTTTTGTTCTTTAAGCAGGATTGAGTGGGAGTTGAAGGAAATATCCTATAAGTATTTAGAGGCAGAAGTAAATACATGAATGAGAAAGAATCGTGTAACAGGAAGGTCACGACTTTGGTCTGGTCTACCGGGATTGACCCTGCAATGCCAACTCAAGGAAATGCTGGATTGTGCGACCGTAAAAATTGCGGAATAAAGATAATGACCAAAAATGCAAAAAAGAAATAACAAAGAAGTCATTGTTACAAGTCGTCATTCTCTTCAACTTGGTCTTGTTGTTAATGTAAATAAGAACAAATGAAAAAATGGGAATAATCTGTACAATGAACTTTTCTTTGGTTCATTTTTGGTACAACTATATACCTCTGTACATATGAAAGCTGTGTTTGACATCGTGTTGGTTTTTGTTGGATTACATCATTTCGTCTTAAAGGAATTGATAGGTAGAAATGCCCATGCTTTTCTGAACAATTGAGGGTGTCATTGGAGTGATGCCTTTTACAAGACACTGTCCAGTTAATTGGTTTGTAGTTCAAAGTGTGAAATGGTTGCGTACACTTTCAGAAACATATTATAAATGACGATTGTCATAGACCGGCCAACTATTGCATGTGTGAACAGAGTGCGCAGGACGCAGATGCATTCATACAAGTTCAGGCAATGGCTATTTTTTAACCACTCAACGATTTTGCCTGGTGTCGTTTATAAAAAAAAGTACACACACAAGTACCAGGCAAAATTCACTTTGAAATCACAGCCACATGTGAAAGAAGTCTTCGAGCTTCCCCCACTCCAAGCTCCGCTGGGCTGTGAGTGCAATGTGGTTTGGTACCCAGAAAAAAAAGTGTATTTTACAGTTTGTGTACGCATTTTTCCTTGTGTGAAAGGTGCCCTGCTAAATGCACAGTGTGCTTAATATGAGTTTGTACATGTATGTAACGATGCAAAAATCATTGTAGCCACACAGCTGTATACTTTTTACCACATTTTACAAGCTTTTGTGAAGAGGAGAACAAATCAAATCAAAGGTTCATTTTCTGACTGCTATTCTTGGCCAAAAAAATGGACACTTTTATTTAAAAAAAAAGGACCTGTCCATCGGGCAATTTGTCCTTAATTTTTACGTGCCCGAATCGAAAGAAGAAATTTGTCCCGGGCAATCGGAGAACCGTGAACGTCGAGGCCTGTCATGGACATTGTTTTTCCTCCTGCCAGTATTCTCTGGTCGTCTACTGCGCATTAGCAGCTGTACATTGTGAGTTTGAACGGGTCCTTTGGTACCAAAGAGAAATCATCCTTGTTTTGTTCATTAATTTTGTAATATTTTAGAAGGGGAGGGGGCCGGGAAAAAGTATGCTTTTCTCATAATGTAATTATGTATGGAAACTTGTTTGTATATTGGAGTATTTCATGTAATTGGAATTTTTTATATTGTTTAACACTTGTACATTTTCTCAGCTCTTAGCATTAGAAAGTGGAAATTTCTATATTGCATTATTGTGGTCAGTGTGTGCAGTACTATCGTTTGGAGCTGATATTTAGCCTCGTAACATCAGATTAATTGCCATTTGTAAAGAAAATCTTGTAATTTTACCAGTTTATCACCTATATCACTTCAGCCATCTAATAATCTGTTGAAAATTATGCAACAAGAGTTTCAAATAATGATTTGTAAAAAATTTGTGCAACAAGAAATTCAAGTAAATAATCTGTAAAAAAAATAATTATAGAAGATCCAAAATAGTGAACTGAGTAAACATTTTATCTTTTTGTGTTTGAAATCCGAGCCAGGTGTCAGAGTATGCACTGTGGCAGTAAGCATTCAAAGGTTGATAAATGCATGAAAATGCCAGTAGTTTGCCATAGAAACATATGTACTCATTCTTATAGGAGTATTAACAAGGCTTTTAAAGTTTTAGCTTGCTGCTCTGTTTTTGTTTTTTGGGGGGAGGGGGAATACCAACTCTATGAAATTGATGAGAGTTGGACAAGAGTAGGGCCTACAGATCACTGATCCAGCTTTGTCTGAAATGTGTACATTTTGTCATCTCTTTTGTAATAATATTTATGCCTTGTGGTATACATGTGGTTGCCCAGAGAAGCAGATTGTGTAAGTCAAATTGTTGGAGTTATTTTGACAGAAATATTGATATGCATGTTTTTCAATAGAATCGAGTGGGTATCATCTTAGACAAATTTCAGTTTCAGTGAATCTACATTGTAGAATTGAATTTGCATCGATTTTTGATGGAAAGTAAAAAGTAACTGTAATGTTGTTAATGTCATTGTAGTAAAATATTACAGATTGTTTTTGACTTAACGAGACACTAGAAGCAAACTTAAGCATTGTCCAAATTATTTGACTGAGGCTTGAAATTACACACGTACATGTAGCTTGAGCCATAACCATAGACTTGTGTGTGATTTTCAGCCACAGCCAAGTAAGTTTGACAGTGTTCATCACTAGAAAGCTGACACTGCATACCCTTTCAGGGAGAGGTATATTTTCTCTCAACAATCAAAAGACTTAAGCTGAGGTTTGATTTTAAATGGAAACCTGTTGTTCATTCAATCATGGACATTTCTGTGACTTAGTAATGTGCAATATGACGTATGTTTTGTGAAAACTACATAAATGTGTTTAAACCTGAAATGGTTATTTTCAATAAAATATTGATAGAGATTTTACGATAAAAATATATATAATGCTCTAAAATAGATATAATGAAGTGAGTCAAGTCAAAGATATTCCTTGATCGTGTGAATAATAAATGAGAATGTAACAATAATTTAGTAGCACAGGAGTTGTTCAATGTTTGCTCTAGAAACCTATCGACAAAGGCAAGGCTTTTGTCGTGAACATGTTGAACGCCTGCCATACATCTCAATGAAAAAGTAGACCAAAATTAGTGCAACGATGTAATTATTTGGTTTAATTACCTACATCAAATTCATATGCAAATGAACTATAATTATTGCACATATACTGTAAGTCATTAGATATTTGAGGAAAGATATCGAACTTTATTAATAAAAAATTGTCTGTTGACAAGACTCTTAGACGAAAAAGAATCTTTGGCTTTGTCCACCCCACTGACCACAAGATATCAGTTTGAGTGTTGTGGACTGATACTTTGATTATGGCAATTGACCACAAGATTTTATGTTAATGGTTTGGTTTGATGTCAAATGACCACAAGAATGTTTACTTTGTAATTAAGAAGGATGTACCGAGAAATAGGTGTGGGTTCGAGTCCCACCTGAGCAAGCTTGAGAATTTTTCTCTAGGTTCTTGAAAACGGGGCACTGGACATAGTGATATGAAAGGGCCCAAGCCAATGATTCTAATTTGCCTACTACCACTGGCACAAAAGTTTATTAACAGCTAGTGTATTAAACATGTTGATAGGAAGTTGGGGGTGGGCTGACCTGTCTGGGTAGGGGTAAGTTGGCTTGGAGGCCTGGGATAGGGTTGAACTTGGAGGGGACGAGTGGGTCCAGGTCAGTAGCTCTCATGTGATCCACGTCTTCCAGTGACCTTGGGGTGTGGCCTAGCCTAAGTTACTTCCAGAACTGTGGCCTAAGTTACTTCCAGAACTCTAGCCACGAGCCTGTGTTCCTTGCACAGTTATAGTTCTTGAGGTAGACTTGGCTGTGACCAAGTCAATCGCATCCGGTTTAAGCCGAGTCGGGATTCATAAGGGGATTCACTTAGGAATGGGTTGATCTTTTCCTACCTCCGTGGATAAAGTACCCTTGATTAAAGGTTTAGGGTTGGGCCTGTTGAAGGTTGAACCACGTATGGTTGAATGCAGCAGGCTGTATGGCCCGGCCAACTGGTTGATATGGGGAGCACACACGACGTCTTCTGTTTTGCAGCTGTGCCAAAGCCATAAATTTATGCTCCGAACGCCGATCGTACTGGCAATCCGTTAAACATCCAAAATTAAAAAGTAAGACATGGGTACACTGGACCCGAACCGTGGGCACACCAGACCCGAACCATGGGCACACCAGACCCGAACCATGGGTACACCAGACCCGATCCATGGGTACACTGGACCTGATCCATGGGTACATCAGACCCACACCGTGGGTACACTGAACCCAAACAGTGGTCACACCAGACCCGAGCCATGCGTACACCACCGTGTGACTCAAACCATGGGTACACTATGCAGACCTGAACCATGTTTGGAACCAAAGGTATGTACAGCTGTTAAATGACATCATATCACAAATTTCCCCCAGTCATGCTGAACATTTATTTGGGAGTGAGGTTACCTACATAAATACAAATGTGTAACACATCTCGTTTCCCCACTGACGTTCAGTTGAAAGTGCATGCACTTGGGAAAGGGGGCCTGGTGCTATACTATCGTCAAGTTACATTATTCCAAGACAAAAGAGGTACGTTTTACCTCCAAAAGCTGGCAGTCTTTTGCCGCCAAAAAATGCCAGGCAGAAAATGAACAAGATTGAAGCCTCCCCAGTATGAACAGGAATATGAAGGCAGAGCATTGGGGTGGCGGTAGGGGAATTTTTCAGAAAATTGAAAAAGATCGCAGTTCCCGCTGATATGGGCGATTTGCAGTAGTGCACCTCCAAGAGTTTGTAACGCGTTGGCAAATCACAATCTGTCGAGCCAATGTGCGTTTGGAAAGGTTACACAATTACAACGCAGTAGACGCGACACGTCGACTCTGGGAAATATAAGACTTGAAGCTATGCATGGTGGAAGCAACTCTTGGAAAGATCACCATGATCCATCATTTTTTTGTGGCCCGGCAACATCACTAGTGCGCGACGCATGAATGATACATGCGCGCTTGTAACGGATCATGTGGTCACTTTGTGACCAGTAAAAATTCACTGTCTGACTGTAGTATAACAAAAATTTATGATAAAAAATGTTATCACACCAGCGCGAGTGGAACACCGAATATCCTTATACCACGTTCACAGATACTGATTTTTAGTAGTCGGAAACTGATCACGTGATATGCTAAAAGTGCGTATCATAGGGTTATGCGCACATGTATCATTCTCGAGTCGCGCGTACTGGCGATGTTGCGGGGCCACAAAAAATGGTGGATAACGGTGATCTTTCCCACAGCTGATGTGTTGTTTCTACTGCGTTGTAATTGTGTGATCTTGGATATGAGGGTGGATAGCCGCGGTGGTACTACGCGCCAATCACTGTAGGAGATTTGCTCTGTGTGGGCTGGGGGACAGTGAAACATTACACACTGTGCACCGCTGTTTCGACACGCCATCTAAGTGCGCCCTCTTGTGGTAAAAAGTCTATGAATATTAATGAGCTGAAAGGATCACCTTAAGAAAGAGACTTCAACCCTTTACAACAGCGGCTGGTTTTGAGACTAGCAATACAGTCTGCGTCGCCAGATCTGAAACCCAGTCTCCTTGGTATTTTGTGCTTGACTTTACTGCGCGCGTAATTTTCCATTCTTCCAAGGATGAATCACGAAGTTTCGTCGGGACGTGGAAAACATTTTCCCCGGGAAAATTGTCATAACCGCGCGAATGTCAACCATAGTTTCGCCTGTGGTCATGTGACATGGCGGCAGTGTTGCTGGAATGGCGACGTCAGCTTTGGTTGCTGTTGTTTTTTTAGTGGGCCTGTATCCGGCAAATTTAGCTAGTGGGCAAGGTAAGTTCACACACGTACATACACGTAGCCAAGGAGTACTACTAGTACTAGTACTAGTGGACTCCCTGACCATACTACGTTAATTAGTCGTAATAAAATGAAGACAACATCCAACCTGGGCTAGCCTACTTCTAAAGTACATGTATGTATGTTCACCTAAGCCTCGTGCTACTGTGTCAATTAACACATGGAATTGTATGGGGCGGTGCATGACAGGGGTAGCCATAATCCGGTCCTGTCTCCTGCCACTAGGGCTTTGCTCGAAAGAGGCAGTGGTGGAGAGCCATAACCAATGTTCGATACGTGTTGGGTATGCTGTAGTGTACTTGTCATGTTTGTAGTCTGGCATGGAGACGCCGCACCATGTGTTGCCAAATGCATGTAGGCCGTACCGGTAGGCATATGATGTACAGAAACATGATGTAGGCCTAGAGTGCAACATACATGTAAACCATTGAACCGCAACACTCACTTGCAACCTTGAAATTTTAGTCACTCCTAAACTCCTAAACAAGTTGTCAATCAAATAAAAAATAACAAAGTGGCTATCGTTACGACAGCCGTAACGCATCTCCCATTTTCTATTGTTACGGCAACTGCGCAAGTGCAATAACGTGGAACCACTGGTGTTTGAGTTGGAATCTGCGCTTGGACCATTTCACTTTTTCGCCTAAATATCATGTTTTATACCGTAATTGTTTTTATGTTATTTCCTTATTGTGTAGGCCTAAGCAGTAATCATTTTTCTTTATTCATTGGAGGCTTTGGAGGATTTTTTAAAGGGAAATAAAGTCCGAAATCTGTGCTTAAGTTGGCTCGCTTGCGCAGTTGCAGTGCGGTAATGATAGAAAATAGCAGATGCGTTACGGCTGCCGTAAAAACAGCCATGGTGAAAAAATAAAGGTGTAACCAGCATCAATGAAAGATTGTCAAAGGAAGCCAATGGCCTACCCCCAGAACTGTGGGGTCCAACGTTCGCTCCTCTCCCTCTCGTAGGAGAGGAGCAGTCCCCACAGTTCTGGGGGTACTCTTGGCACACCTCCAAGCTAGGATTATCACGCAATAGCGGAGTGTTGTCTTGGTTTATAAATTTGTTATGAGGTCCTTTATATCATGTGTTTCTTACAAAATGGTAGCCCAGGTTGGACGTCGTCTACTGGTACATGGCATTGCGACTAAACATCCAGGGTATAAAAGTCCTCCTACGATGCAAATTTTTTGAAACGTTTTTTTCTTACATTTTTTATCCGGCGAAAACAGCTTGTATGTCATTCCCAAGTGCCTTGTATCCTGAATTCCAGAAATGCTGTGTTGAAGTCATAAAATATGCCCGCGGACAACATATTTTGCAGAAAATTTAGGGAAAATCCATGCTTTCCGTTGCAATTTGTGAATGATCTACGTTTGTATATTACTACGCATTTGCTCATTGGTGAATGGCCTCCAAGCCGAGTCCACATTCTGTCAGTTAATTATGTTGTCTAGAGCTACTGTAGGTCTAGTCTTCACTCTATTGGAAACCTAGCTGTGGCTTCGGAGGCCTGTTTTGAACACAGCCTTATCTGCCCCCACTGCGGTACACATCTGATGTGTCCCAACACTGTCACCTTCCTCGACGTGTGCGTCCATATCTGTGAAACTGACATTTTTAAATATCTGATTTTAATAACAAAATTGGAATTAAATAGAGAGGTTAATCTTTCAAAATATTACAAGATGCCAAATTTGATCTCCTCTTCAATATTTGGCTGTGAACCCTAAAAGCAGGAAAGAGCACTGCAGCAGAATGTGACTTGACGCTCATTTCGTCGTGCCAGGTCACATTTCTACAGCCTTATCTGCGACTTCTTCACGCCCATAGCTCTTCCGGCCATGTGTAAGGGGCAGTCAGTTACTATGCATTTCGTGCAGATGCAAGTACGTGTATTAGATGAACATATCGTTCACAACAGAAAGTGAAATGTTTTGCCAAATTTCCTGCAAAATAGGTTGTCCACGGCTGGGGCGTATTTAGTAATTTCAACACAGCATTTATGGAATTCAGGATACAAGACACTTGTGAATGACATTTGAGCTGTCTTCACCAGGTAAAAATGTGAGAAAAAAAAGTTGACAAAAATTTTGCATTGTAGGAGGACTTTTATACCCTGGACGTCAGTCGTAGTGTACATAAATGAAGACAACATCCAACCTGGGCGAACGGAATGGATACAGAAAGCAATGTCATGCAGAAAACACCACAGAGAAAACAACTATTTGAAATAATTAGTTTAGGAAAGGGTTGCAATAAGGTGCACAGGTGTTTACATTTCCGTTGTTCTGGGGTCACCGAATTCATGTTTTAAGTAATAAGACCAATGTTTTTTTTCATCGATGTGCAATGATAGACCTAAAATATTTGACGGCCGATGGTACTTGGACATTGCCAAATACATGTACATGTACATCTTTATCTGATTATATTTTTCAGTGACCAGAATTGACCACAAAAAGGCCTCAATTCTGCCATGTTAGGACTCCTTAACTAACCGTAAAGGAGCTATTTTTCCCAAAGCTGTCATCCGAGTCCCTGTTTTTCCCAGTTAGTTTATTTTTCCTGAAACGACTGGATATTATAACAAAAACGAAACTTTCCATTTCTGTAAAAAAACAGGACTCCGCAGTCCATATGACTGATCATAAATCGGCCTAATTCCTCCCCCCCCATATTTATTGCACAACAAAACAAACAAATGCATTTTGGTGGGTAAGATTTATCTGTTGGCAATTTTATTTTATTACATATTTCATTTAATATATTTGATCTATGTACATGATGAAAATTATTGAACATTATGTATTGTTTCCATAAAAAATAAACTAAAAGCCGAACGTGTTACCAACTGAGGCATATAAAACATTAGTTCAAGGCTGTTCAAAATTTTATCACGTTGTTTGTTATAACAGCAATTTATCTTTTTTTTAATTAAATGCATTAAATTCAAAGTTGGAAATTACACCTTTTTTATCAAGGACTTTGTTTTTGTCCAGTTGGCTAATACTTTAATCAAGGTGGCATGTCATGGCCATCGTACTTTTCAGCCTAAGGCAAAGTGCATCAATATACATTCCCAAATTTCCTGGCAAGTCTGAATTGGTGAGTGTTATCTTGGCTTGTGCAGAGAAAACTAAATGAGGTTGGGCCTGAAGGACCATCATCATGCAAGAGTGTAGTTCACTGAAAAGAAAAATAACTTTAAAAAATGTTATTATCTGTGTATTTGTTTACCCTCGGTTCAGCAGAAAGTTCTCTTGAGAACGTCACTATACCTTCCTCGTGGATATATTTGCAATGGAGTATGGACATGAATAATGGTACACATGATTAAGCCAAAAGTACAAAAATTGTAATTGAGCCATTTTATGCAACATCGTCATTAGAAGTACATGTATATGGGTCATTGACGTAAATGTAGCATTAACTGATTTCATTGACACCATTAACTCCTACCAAATTTTACACTATTCAAATATCAACTGGACTTTCGGTAACGCAATAAATTGCTGTGACGGAGTAAAATCACAGCGAACCTGATTTTAAGGTCTTGAATCTGGCGTTAAAAACCTTTCTAAGCTAATGACCATTACAAAGAAAAGTTTCATTCAACGCTGGCTTCATAATGCAAGGATAAATTGGTTTGTTTTACAGGAAGAGAGGAAATAAACGAATTCAATGCTCCAAAAAGGCTGCTGCATTCGATTGTACAAGTTCATTGAATAATTTACAAAACAATTCCATCAGACATCTCGTTTCCATCACAAAACTCTTTGACGTTCAGCGTACGACCCAGAGTAATAAGCAGAACTAAACATGAGGAAGGAAACATTCATGTGTAAACTATACCTCTTTGATGTTCGCAATGCATTATGAGTTGGATGACAAACAAGCCAACGGGAGAAGTGCATGTGCAAAATGTTAATCTGCCATCCTCTTCTCACAAAGTGCATTCTAAGCCCCTGTAGATTTGGGATGAAGATATTCAAAAGTTTGAAGCATGGCAGAAAAGAAAAACTGTTATCCTGTCCTCGTAAAAAACTAACATCGTTCATGACTGAGTGCATGCATGGAATGGATGCTCAGGAGACCCAGAAGTGATCATGTGACAAGGCTGTTTTGTTCTTTAAGCATGATCGAGTTGGGGTTGGAGGTAATGATTGACAAAATGTCCTATCAGTAGAAGTATAGGCCTATACATGTATTTAGGCAGAAGTAAGTATACGGATGAGAAAATGTTACCATTACATCTAGGGCCCCAAGGGAGAAGTGATTGCAACCAACAGGTTTTTGCTGAGGTTTTACAGTTTCCTTATTTTAAAACAAGTTGTTCTTTGCTGTCACTCTAGCCTCAAACACCATACGTCTCGTGGATGGTAGTAATGACCTCAAAGGCCGAGTGGAGGTGTTAGTAGGCGGCGTTTGGGGGACAGTCTGTGATGATGACTGGGATCTTAATGATGCTCGTGTTGTGTGTCATCAGTTGGGCTATTCAAGAGCTCTCTCAGCACCTGGGTCTGCGCAGTTTGGCCGTGGAACCATCCCAATCGTTCTAGATCATGTAAATTGCAAAGGATCAGAAAAGCAGTTGCAAGATTGTCCTGCAAGTAGGGGTAACAACTGTAACCATGGTGAAGATGCTGGGGTCGTTTGTGCAAGTGCATGTAAGTGAAACAGAATGTTGTAAACTGTAATGTAATGATGTGTTTAGTTGTTACGTGCAGGTATCCTAAAAAATACATGCTCTCAAAGGGACTTCATCATTATTGGTGTGTATTGTTGTCACTTTGTCTGGGCTCTTAATTAGTGAATCTTTTTTTCAATCACAACTTTCTTCATTTCATGTTTAGCTACATTTTGCTCTTTGTTTACACATAGCTGCTGGTGATATTCGTCTCATTGGCGGTAGCAGTGCTCTAGAGGGCCGAGTAGAGGTCTTTGTAAATGGTGCTTGGGGAACTGTCTGTGATGATGGTTGGGATCTAACTGACGCTTCAGTGGCATGTCGTCAGTTGGGTTATAATCATGCCCTATCAGCTCTTGGTTCAGCCCATTTTGGCCAAGGAACAGGTGCTATTGTTTTGGATGGTGTTGAATGCACAGGACGGGAGAGCAGGTTGCAAGACTGTACATCAGCATCCTACCACAACTGTGACCATGGGGAAGATGCTGGCATCGTCTGTTCAGGTAGGGGTCATTTCATCTTTCTTTTATTGTTCATGTTATTCATTTCACCAAGATGTGCGCCTTGTAGGCAGACCCTTGTAAAAGCTCTCCTCATTTCTTGTGTTGTGCTGGACCATGATAGCAGATCCCTTACTCGAGGCTACTGACAATTTTCTAAACAATTATACCTCACTAGACTTCTCTGGAACAGGTTTGATGTTTAGATGCAGTGTTTGATTTCATATGAGAATGTTTCTTGCAAAAGAAACACTCTCTTGTCCTATTTCTTAGAATTAATTATGGCAGAGGGTGAAATTACAAATAGTAAATGTTTTTGACGGTAAATGTAGATTTTTATTTCATCCTTTGCTGTACTGTTCATAATTTAATGCCAAAAGGGTCTGTAGGGTTAATTTTTCTCAGATTCACTTTTTTTGCAGCTTTTACAACTTCAAGTATTTGACATACCTTTAGGGATACTTTTTATGTGAGGAGCACTCTCGTAAGCATGTAAAATTGTCCCTGCTTTTTCGGGCAATTATAAGAACACAGTTGCAATTTCAAACTTGAAAGACACATGGGTCTGCCTGTTCAAATGGTAAAACCCAAAATTTACCCATTGAAAAACATCTGTAAAATAAGGATTTGTCATTAACAGACGTCCATATTCCTACTCAACGGTGAATCACAAAAGAAAAGAAAATCACGACAGCAAACATCCAAGATTCAGCAATTTTTTGTTTGTTTGGAAAATGCCTTAACACTGGTTTCTTCCCAGAATGACATCACCATTATGCTCATGAATGTGTTAATTGCATTAGCATAAAGACCCCAAAACCTTCCCCTAACCCACGAAGGTGCTTTTTCAAGGAAATATTACATGCCTTTATAGTTTCTCCTTCCACCACCTGTATGCATGGCATGTGCCCCTCGGCTCCCACCCCAACCCCTTCCCATGTATGTCTGTGCATTCCCTGTTTGATGACCTCATGATGAAAGGTACTGCACAGTACTTTATTTCAGTGATTTTAGATGTATAAATGATGGTCTTTCTTGGTATTAAAAATGAAGAACTACATTAATTTCATGGCAGTGTATTAATTTAGCACTCTTTGTATTTAATCATTGTTTGAGGACCCCCTTCCTTAGGTATCTAGCCCTCCCCCTTCTAAACATATACATGAAGGTACTTTCTGGATACCCCTGCCTCTTTAAAAAGTGTATTGATCCCGATTATAGCACTACACATACATGTATTGATAAATTAGTTTATGATGCTAGCAGAATTACATACATACCGGTATATATTGTCTATGATAATGGTATTTAAGTTTCAAAATTAGTTTTTTATAAAGGGACAGATAGTTGAAAATCCCTGTCAGAATGACAAACCTTCATGCTAGAGTCAAAAAAGCTACTGCCAACTTTGTCTTGGCAACCGGAATAGAAAGTATTTGCTTCCATTTCTGTTTTTACATGTACAGTGCTTTCATTCTTTTGCTATTCTAATGCCAGTGGGGTCCGTTTGCTTGCCATCCAAACTCCTGGTGCTTTGGGAATATGTTTACAAGACAATGCCTCAGTTCACTTGCTGTTCTAATGCCAGTGGGGATGACTGGCTTCTCATCCATACTCCTGGTGCTTTTGGAATGTGGTTCATGCTTATTCCCTTGCCACATGTCTGTTTTATTCAGATGGATTTACGGTAGTATGCCTGGTGTAAGGCTTGCATGAAATTGTGGACAATTGTGGAAGATGTTTTTTTTGCTATTGCAATGTCAGTGAAGATGCCGGTGTCATTTGTCTTACATCAACAGGTACATGTAGGCCAATCAAGTGTTTGGAAGAGTTGGGTTGTCATATTGTTGAATTTTGTTGAGATTTTTCTCTTATTTAATTCTAGAACAAAATGAGATTCAACTGGTTGGTGGTAGCAGTGCTCTAGAGGGACGAGTAGAGGTGAAGTTTGGAAATCTTTGGGGTACTATCTGTGACGATGACTGGGATTTAGCTGATGCTACCGTGGTTTGTCGTCAGCTGGGTTATGGAGAGGCTCTCTCAGCTCCTGGTGGTGCAACATTTGGTGAAGGAACTGGTTCCATAGCCATGAATGAAGTGGATTGTAAAGGAACAGAAGACAGTGTAAAGGATTGTGGATATACGAGTAGTGTTCAGCAAAACTGCTACCATTCTGAAGATGCTGGTGTTTCCTGCAGCGGAATGCGATCAGGTAACAAATCATTTTTGAAAGGGCAATCTTGTCATTTTCTATCACAAAACACAGAAAATGAAGCGTCCAGAAATAGCTGGCTCACAAACTATCAATCGTGAGCATATATTTTGGAAAACGCTAATGTTCCTTTGCTTCTTGCCTTCATCAAATGCAAAACTTTCTTTGACAATGGTATTTCTTGAAATACGGTAGAGGTACTAAAACACAGTGGAATTTTCCGGTCAGGCCACATTTATTTTTAGTTCATGAATTTGATGTCCAGTGTGATATGTTTGTGTTTGTCAACAGCGTATGAATTTGGTCAAGTCCGTTTGGTAGATGGGAGCTCAGAATATGAGGGCTATGTGGAGGTTTATTACAACCAGCAGTGGGGTACTGTCTGCAATGATGGATGGGATCAAGACGATGCAGATGTCGTGTGTGAAGAGCTAGGATTTGATTTTGCCATCTCAACATCCAAAGGTTTGAGATTTTCAAATGTGCAGCTACCTTAAATTGTAGATTAACTGGAATGCAAAAAAAACTTGGGCATTGCTTAGCCTTGCATGTGCATGTGACCCCAAATTCTTGATGGTAAAGTTTTTGTAGAGGAAATTTCTTGATAAAATTGCCTTCCCGTGAGAGAAAAGAATTTGTGAAATTTTCTAGTGTCATTGCTTAAAGATTGCTTTGGACATGCAGCTTGGGTGCACTGGTTCCAAACAGGATGCATTGGTAACCATTCTAATGCAGGAGCACTAGACACAATACATGTACATGTATGTAGACAGTGTATGTCCGAAATGAGCAAAGAAATGTACATTTCTTTTTGACTTGTCTTGTGTTGAGATATAATTTGAACTCTTTTTCCTTTTTTCTTTAGATTCTGATTATGACAGGTCTGCTTCCGGACCCATCTGGCTTTCCTATGTGCACTGTGAGGGGACTGAAAACAGACTAGCTGATTGTTCACATGGGAAGTGGGATGATAACTATTGCTCACATGCCAAAGATGTGAGGGTGAAATGCAATGGTGCTCCAAAACCATGTAAGAACAAAATTAAGGCATTAAATGACCTGAAAATTTGCAGTCACAAGGAGAAGATCCCTTGAATCATTTGAGACACCTGTGTTTGTTCACATATATGTACGTGTATCTATGTTTTTAAGTTTGGCGTACAAAGATTTTTTTGATGATTCTATGTCTTCAGAAATGCAGAAAATGTTCCTGGTTTTAACACTCTTTTTTCAGAATGGAACACTCTAGGTTAATTCTCGGTTAATTCTCACATTACAGGTTCTAAATAGATTTTGTTAGACTTGACTCTTGAAACTGTTGGCAGAATTGTTATTGTCTGTAGCTGTGGAAGCCTTACTTCTGAATTCAGGTTTTTCCTCTTACTTCTTAGAAGGTGGGCTGGAAAAAAACGAGAAAACTCACTGTAGAGAATGTTTCATTGCTTTTTCATGAAAGGCTTTTAATATGAGAAGAAAATCTGCAAACTGCACAGTGATAGCCTACACAGAGACACCAAAGTCCTCAGCTGTCAGGAAATGGCATAGATTTAGAAAACACTCAAAAGGTGCACCTGAAAAATGCAAATACTAGACATGATGTGAAATGACATGAATGCAGTGCTGCAAGGGGATACCCTATACGCTCTTTGTACACTGCCGCTATAGGCATGTAGAGCCTCGAACTGGTAGCTTATATGATCAGGTCAGAATCACTTTGTCCAATCACATAAGAACTAACGCAGCATGCGCATAATAACACGAGCAACATACACAGGAATCACGTTTTATTTATTGTAAAGTTGCCAGATTGAAGCTCTGCATGCCTATGGCGGCATCTTGTAAAGAGCGAACTACATCTCAACCTTTCTTATCTGCAAAGAAGAAGAATTGGTCTGGAAAATCACATGGTCCTCTAATCACAAGGCATTCTTAGCAACGTATATTTGTCTTTTACCTCTGGCAGTGTCTACAGGGGCTATAATTGCATTGTCATGCGGAGCAGTTGCAGGTTTAATTCTTCTCTGCACCTGTTACACATGTTGCCATGCATCAAAAAACACCACTACTGCAACTCCAGCGGTAAGAGTTATATGTGGACTTCATGTGTGTCAGTGAGAGGGAGTGGATGATGGATGACAGACAAGGGTTTGGAAGAGGGGCTGAAATCATGTGACACTTTCATCGGTGTCCTCCAGCCACCACCTCCCGCATACAGTTAGGGTTCACAGGATCCCTGTAGTTTTTGCTGATGCTGTGGATTTCCCTGGTATTATTGTCATGTATCATACACCATGGTACTACGTGTATGCTGAAATATTTTTTCTCCATCTTTTGTTTTGTTATATTATTTTCAATGAAACCTACAATGATATGAATCTTATATAGGGTATCTGAATTGAAAGTGAAGTTGGCTCCTTAAATCATCACTAAAACTTGAGTGAGATATCTCCTGTTCCTTTCCTCCTTGGATTGACGCTAATAGGTTTGTGTGCATTCCTCAAGAAAATGGAACAACCAAACAAATGTATTTATTCTGCCAGTTCTTTTCCTTTGGTTTCAGAATGAGAGCAATAGTTTTGATTTTTCATTCCAATCATTTTCATTCTCAGAGTTTCCTTAAATATATATAATAACCTTTACTACAGTTATTTAAAAATAGATTGAAATTTGATTTGTCCAAAATTACATCATCGTAAAACAGTTGAAGTGATTTCTATCTTGAGGAAAATCAGTCCTGATACTCATGAGATCTGGAAGTGCCTAACACTGTATAACTAACCCTTTTCCCAGGTCTCATTTTAAAGTGAACATATCATGCAAATTCAGCTCAACTTGTTGTCATACACATCACTATTTCTTATAATATGAACAAGATTTAAATACTTCTTTTATTGGAAGTAACAAGAAGTTGAAGGAAGTAGTTTTTTTTTCATTCTTTGGAGATCCTTTCATCAAATCTTCTTAGAGTATGCCACATGTAGGTTTCTTCTATCACACAAGGCACTCCGTGCCAAAAGAGCATTAAAAAATGTAAACATTGTCCTCAAATTACCCACCAACAAAGTTTTAAGAGATTAGCCATTTGTATTGTCCAGACAATCTGTTAAGTTTTCCTCCCTTTTACTGCATGACAGGAAGTAGAAATCCGTAGTGACATCACAAGGAAGCTTGTCTGTATCTCTTAAAGTCATGAAAATCTTACATAAAACTTGCCAAAGCACTCGTTCAGGAAGCTTAAAGAGTTACCTAAAAGTGGATCAAATCGGGCAGCAGAGCTCCCATCTTTTAAAGTAAAGAAATACAGAAGTAACTTCACTGATTTTCATGTACCTGTATTTGGTGTGGTACTTGATAGATGCAGAGGGGCGCTCTAACTTTGCAAAATATGAATATCTATGACATCACATATCTGTTTACTGACAGATGGTTGCTGTTGTGAATTAAGACTTTCTATGAGCATCAGAACAGAAGTTACTTTAAGTGATGTCAGCTTCTTTCTGGAGAATTTTCTCTCAAATCCTGGATTATGAACCCAGGGTATATTTTTTTTCCATAAAATCGTAACGATTTACGTTTTACTGAAGAGAGCCAAAATAAATGTGGTACAATTGTTTGTGACAGGCCTCAAGGACTACGTATTCTCAGGTCGCAGCCAATGAAGCCAACACAGCCACTCCTGTCATCCACTATCATCCTGCTCAACAGTCTGTTAGTGTAGCGCCCTCTATGCCAGCACAACCATCAGCTCCTACATTGCAAGCTAATGAGGCTCCACCCCCCTCCTATCAGACAGTCGTAGCTCAGCCCACAATGTTCCCAGTGGTACCCACCACTGGCCAGGACTATGAGACAATACAGCAAGCAGGTCGTAACGACCCCGCCTACTCACCTGCAACACCTCCTCCCGCGTACAACCCTGAACCATCCAACTTGGGAACCAATGAACCCAGAACTGCATTTCAGACCCATATGATGTCTAATCCAACATAAGAATTGCTCTGGTGAATATCCTTTGACCTTAGCCTTTGACCTATCAGGTCACAGCCTACGTGGTTCTGTGACAGAAAAGGATGCAACATCAACTCAAGGAGATGCTGGATTGTGCAACAATAAAATTGCTCGGTAAAGATAACGGCAGAAAAATGCCCAAAAGGAATAAGAAAGAAGTCATTATTTTTTTCAACTTGGGCTTGTTGTTAATGTGAATTAGAACATCATAAAAAATGGGATTAACTGATTAATTTACTTTACACTTTGGTGCAATTGGGTTTTGGGTTTTAAAATTAACATCATTTGGGCTTACAGGAATTGGAAAGTGCACTTTTAAATATTCAAATACCTATGCATTCTTAGATGGTTGAGGGCCTCGTTGGTGTGATGTTACTTACAAAGACGCTGTTCAGTTTGCCTCATTTCACACCAGATAGCATGCCAACAGGCAAGGATTTACCGTGTCATAAATGTAAGGGGCATTCAATCATTTTGGCTAATCTTGTCTGTAGTGTTAAGTACCATCTGTACTCATCCCCACCCTCAAGGGGCGTGGAAATATCGCTGCGAGGCAACCATGCAGTAGACAACGCTACACAAATTTTGAACCGGTGACTACCAAGTGTCAGCATTTGTTGTAGAGCCAAACTTTAGAGAGAACTGTGGTTGTGGTGTCTTATTCCAGGCCAAAAGTAATGCTGCACTTCTGATAAATGCATTGGCAAGTGGTTCAAACATTCCATGAGAAAATATGAAAGAAGGGTTGCTCATTGTTTCATTGCCGTAGGCATGATGCCATATACATGTGCTGTATCTAGGACAGGAAAGTATGAAAAATTACAGCAGCTCTGTGCAATGAGCCCTCCCCCATAGCATCACAGTTTGGATAATATGGAAAATGACAGCGTAAAACCAAAAAGGCAGCAAAACAGCCCCCTAAAAAATACCTTGGATGCACTCTCTAACATATCTAAAGGAATCCTATTAATTACAATCAGAAGAGGATAGATGTCAGAGAGTAATGCAGATATCATTCATAAATGCCTAAAGCAGGTGGATCACTCTGATTAAGTCTGCAGTACAGTGGCTAGTACACACCGTGCATGAGCATGTGGGCAGATTTCATGTCACGGGGGGATGATTTCAGCTTGGCGCGGAGTCAGTGACTTAAAAGGGGGGAAGATGATTATACTGACCGGCATTCCCCTACAGGTAGGTCAAAAAGAGGGAAGGGGAATGTAGCTTCTCATCCCCACGTCTGGATCTCCGCCCGTGAGCATTATGACACTCATGACAGACAGGGGCAGAGGGGTGTTTTACAAAAACATGCAGGAAAATTAAAATTGTACAATTTATGGTTGGACCGGAATGGTATTTTAAAATTGAATAAAAAGTGTGCTAGAAGAGTATTAACCAACTTTGAAGGGTTAATTACTGACTCCATCTTTCACTTACTACCATTTCAGCAACCAGAGAAGATGGTAAACGGGACATTCAAACAATTTAACACACTGTAATTCTTATAGAACAGTACTTGACACCTTACAGTCCCGTACAAATCTGTGAGGTCTTTATTCATGCATGATAAGCCACAGGACAACAGGAAGTGTTGAGTGCCAGTGCATTCATTGCAGTTTAGAAGAAACGTGTTCTCCGAGTCCTCATCGAGAGTTTTGGGAGTTTGCTTTCCTTTAGTTTCAGAATGTATTCTTAATTTTCAGGTGCTGCCGGATTTTTTGCCAATACAATATTTTCACAGGGCAGAGATTAACAAATCAACACGTGGAAGATGTAGTATGGTAGAATATTGATATTCTTGAAACACTAGATTTGCAGGTGTAATAGATATAAATTAATGAGGATTTATGCAGAAGGTTTGCATAAACAAAAGCATGTACACTCATGTAATAGATTTTCGATGTTCTTAGGGTAAGAAACTGCAGATTTTAATATGAACTGCATTTTTGTGTGAAGTATAATTTGTTTGCATGTATAGTACTTTCTGTAGCAGCTCTGAAGAGTCTTTTAACATCAAATTAATTGCCATTTTCAAATAAAGTATCAGTTGTAAATTGTTATTTTACCTTTTTATCCATGTCACTTGAGCCATTTAATAGCCAGGTTGTTGAGAAACGGGATTAGTTTTCTGCGACTTTGATTTGAATGATTTATTTGTTGTAATTTCAGAAAATCTTGGATGGGGAACTTTGTAAATATTTTAATTTCATGTCTTATGTCAGGGCCAGATTAACCAGTAATTACTCTGGGCATTGTGCCTACAGCCCACAGAACTTCAAAGGTCAGTGAATGTGCCTCAAAGTTGATGACAGAAAAGTTAGTTTCATATTGGACATTCCCATTAGTTTGTACAGCGAATATCTGATTTTTCTCGACATTTGACATTCCCATAGGTTTGTACAGCAAATGTTTATGTTCTGGAGATTAGACTTATACATTATGTTGGTCC